ACCTGTCCTACCACTAAAATGAGTCGACTCATGTGGGTATATGTCGAGTCATACTGCAATTTTTTCACTCTATCATTGTTTTGTTACATACATGGGTTAGTTCTCAACACATGGTTAGTGAAAATGAAAGATAAGCATATGGTTAGCTTCAAGGCAATGATATCTACATTTTATCTTCACAAATGAACCACTAATGATGCTTGTATCAAGAGTTCAAAGTCAAGAAGTCTTACCTTGAAGCTGAAATTTGTGCTTTGAGCTTGAGTTGTTGTCTTGACTGTTCTTGAGCTTGGAAAATAGTGATTTTATAGAAGTTGTTCTTGTGTTTAAATAACCTCTATATGATGTATTTGGAGTGCTTGGATGGTTTGTTTGTAAGTGTTTTTCCATTTGAAGTGATTATGTTTCTTGAGAGAATTTCCGTTCATTGGATATTCTTCGTGCGAATTTCTCCGTTGTCAAACAATTAACTACATGCAAACAACGGTATTCAACCAATGTAAAGTTTATATTTGTTTTGAAGTTTTGAAAATTCATTTTTAGCAAATAAAAGAATTTTGTAAGAATATGAATTCAACTCAAGATTTATAGTAAGCCTTACAGGAGTCAAGATACCTTTTGTAAAAGTATGCTTTCGAACTAACCTACGCTTCAATTAGGAATTTTAAGGGGTTGTAACGTGGTCTGGTTCACGGTTCAAGAAACAAAAGATAAGGCTCAATGTTTATTAGTAACAACTCGTTCTTCATGATGTTCTTCAGCCCTATACTCAGTTAATTGTGCGTTTATCTCCCAATAGAATCTAGAATGATATTTTGGGGATGGTTTGGATATTGGAAGTTTATTTGAGAAGGCAGTCATTTTTGCAACATTTTTCATGTTGTCGAGGATTTTTAGTGACCTCTTTTTGATTTATTATACCTAATTTTTGTCTGACTGCTCTTGTTTTACAGCCAGCGGGATGCCCCAGTTGTTGTTTTTTTAAGTCTCCTTCATAGGTTTTGACCCAATGGGCTTTACTTTTGAGAGGTAAAGACTGCCTATTTTATGGGGAAACAACACCATCTTTTGATCCAGAAGGATATTTTTGTTTTGAAGTGACAGCTTATGACTGAATGCGCCTTTGGATTAATTGAGAAACTACCCTGCCCCGGGTTATGATTAAAGGTTTCAAATTGTGCGTAAAAGAAAAATCCTACTTATTAGGCTTAAAGGGGTTGATTAGGGATTATCTTCCTTATAACTCCACTATTTAGGAATTGAAAGAACGCTTGTACATCGTCAGCAAGGTCTGTCCAAAAGTATATTGTATGAGATTATGGCATTGTTTTCGTCATCCTCTCTCTAAAGGCTTACAACTTTTAACAAGATTTGAATATAATAAAAAGGGAATAAAAGCATAGTTTAAATATAGTGAAAACAAATGGATTAATTAAAGACAAACATATGCAATGCATTAATGAAAAAAGTTTAACATAATAGATAAGTGTTTGAACAAACAAAAGAAATTACAATTGAAAATTCAAAATGAACTGGACGCTCTCAATGATTTGGCATGGAAGCAGTGATCAGGTTGGGAGTCTCAGGAGGGCCTAATTCAATCTCCTTGTCGTTAATCATATTTTGAATCTTGTATTTTAGCGCCCAACAATCGTTAGTATCATGCCCAAGACTGCCAGAATGATAGGAACATCTTGCATCAGGATTGTAATTAGCAGAAGAAGTTTTGGGGTTTGGATGAGGTCCAATCAATGTAATCAGATGCATCCTCAACATGTGTTGCAATGCCTGAGACGGTGGTATGTTGATTTTGGTAAACTGTCTCTTGGATTCGTCCTGCCTTCACTGATTTCCCCGTTGTTATTGTCGCACCGATGCAGGATTAGAGATAAGGACTTCCCCCACAAATTGGTCGTGGTTACTCTTGTTACAACCCTTCTGGCCGTATACAACATTTGACTCTTTCTTCCCATTGTATGGCTTCTTCTGAGTATCGGAAAATGCAGCCACTTGGATCTTTCTGCTTCTGCTTCCATTTTCAACTTGTTCCCCAGTTAGAATCAGTTCGATGAACCCGACCGAAGAGCTTCCGATTAGGTGATTGAAGAAAGGTCCTGTCAAAGTTCCCATAAAGATATCAACCAACTCTCTGTCATTTAAGGGTGGCTGCACCCTGCCAGCCAGGTCTCTCCACTTTTGGGCGTATTCTTTGAATCCCTCTTTTGAACCCATGGTCATATTCTGCAACTGCACACGAGTTGCTGCAAGATCAGCATTGTATTGGTACTGCTTGTAGAAAGCAGCAGCTAGATCCTCCCAGGTCTGGATATTGGTCCCTTCCAATTGGTAAAACCACTCAAACTGCGTCCCAGATAGACTCTCTTGAAAAACGTGCATCCATAGTTTCCTATCGGCGGTGTGCGACTGAACCTTACAGACATAGGATCTTAGATGAAGCTTGGGACAAGAGACCCCATCATACTTGGCAAAAGCATGGATCTTGAATTTGTGGGGGATGACCACCCCAGGAACCAAACCCAAGTCTCCAAAGTCCAAGCTAGGCACAACTTAGATCTCCACAACCTTTAGTATATCTTCTAGCTGCTTATTTCTGTCGTCGGCCGGAGGGTATTGCTCATCAGACTAATCCTCGTCTTCAGAGATTTGATTGTTTCCACCCCCAGCACGGGTGCTCCTGGCATCTTCGTCTTGATTTTCATCCTCCTCAGAAGACTCCTCTTCAATTTAAATTTGTCCGATGGGGCCCTTGAACCTCTTCCCCATGTTGATCACGACCTTCTTCTTGGTCTTTTTCTCCGTAACCAGAAATGCCATCAGTTCTTGATACCCCTTTGCTAAGTTAAGTAAAGTTTCTTGAAACTGAGACTTTTGTGTCTGCAAATCCTTCACAATATGCTCGAGATCCATCTTACTGAATTAAACAATAGAAAGATGAGGACACATGTGTCGGAAAACCTGCTTATGATATGACACATGTAATGTGAATGAAAATGTTTTCAAGGATCTCACGGGGTAAGCACAAGAAGAGGTTAGAAGTTTAATTTTGATTATAGCTTTGATTGAAGAACTTCATATCGTTGGATGTCCTTCCACGAGAATCAAGCTCACCGTGTCAAGTGGGTCATAACCCTTGACTCAAGTTATCGTGCTTTGGTTTTTGACGGTGTTTGGTTAGAGAAAAATAAATCCTCTTGCCCCTTGATAGATGTCTAGTTCAACATAACCCTGCATCACAAACCCTTGAGATCCTTGAAATGGTTATTGAAAATTCTACGGTATGATGTCATGATGTTATGTACAAATAATCATACACGAACAAAGCAAACAAGTCCTTAGGTTTAGGCTTGTATGAGGTTCATAGGTAAGTACCCTCTTGAAGTTTAGTTGGTTCAACATTTCCTACAAAGTAATCGGGTTCTAGGGAATCTAAATATCATTGATCTTTCTTCATTGGGCATTGTTTTAGAACAATCAATCTTTTCTTGCAGCAAAAATATCCCAAAAGTTCGATCTCAATGAGCGTAGTATCGAGTATCAACCAATATTTAGATTTCCACCGAAATCAGCTATCTCACTACTTCCTAATGGCCAAGTTGTTCAATTAAAGGTTCTAAGGTCAGTTAGTGCTTCATGACACCGCTCAGCGGCCCCATATTCTCCTCGATTCCATACAAGGGATACTGGTACCAACAAATGCATCATACTAACATAGTCATTGCTTCAACCAGATCGGTCTACACCGTACCGTTTCCACAATCTATTGCTACTTACCTAATGATGTTCTTGTCGTACCCCAGATTTTCCCTATCTCTTTTATTTTTGTCTGGCTTTGAACTTTGCATTCCATTTACATCATTTTATTATTCAGTCATTTGCATATCCCGCATTTCAGGGAATAAGGCGTTTTGGTTTGCAGTTTTAGGGTTGCGCCCTCTTTATGTCTAATCTTGTTTTGAGGTTTTCTTATCAGGTAAAAAGGGAAACGCATCTGGTTCTCGATTAGCGGATCATGGAATGAATTGTGTCGTCAGGTTACAAGGTTGTTTCTCATTCAAACTCATCAGAGCCTGGATTAGGGTTTATTTCCCTATTGTTTGTCAAGGGACTAGGGTTTTGGATCCATGTTTATTGTGAAATCCCTCTTTCATCTATTTCAAAGATGTCTCAAGAGCAAGATGTTAGGGTCATAACTTATTAATGATAAGGTGAATTTGGGCCGTTGAATTGCAGGGTTTCTATAATTATTTCAGGGGAGAATTTTGTGGGCTAGGTTTCATCCTCGTGTTCTCAAATCATCTTCATTTCAAGGCGTTTATGCGTGTCGTAATTTCATCAACTGGAAAAGGAATTTTCTCAGTAAAGAGTGTATTAAGCTTTCTTTCAAGACTTCATTGATTTAAGGCACTCTTTTGGTTCATGTCGCATTTTGTGATTAAGGGAAGATTTGTGCATCAAGGTGATTATTGTGGAGTTGAGATTGAAATATAGCGTGAAATGAAGAACAAAACTTTGTTCAAGATCTTAAGGATGATTCGTCAATGTTTGATCCTAGATTAAGAAGTTTTCTTTGTGTGATTTCATGGTATACAAAGTAAAAATGAGCAACGGAGTACATCATTGAGTTACAAATATCAAAGTCCATTACCTTTGTTCTTTATTTTGTTTAAGATATTGAATAGTCGACATTTATTTCATGGTCATCAAAAGACTCAAAGAATATCAAGACAAGTTCATCATTCATTGATTTCTACCATCTTTCATTCAAGATTCAAGTCTCATTCACGGATTCAACGTTTAAAATTTTGATTCATAATACAAAAAAAAAAATTCATTCAATTTTATCTCAATACAAAGAAATATTTACATTCATTACAAAATCCAAATTCAATTACCATTACATACATATTGAAATTCATACAAAAAATCAATACAAGTTCATCAATTTCATGAAGCCCAATATCCAAAATATAATACAACCTCTAGCCAATTTCCAAAACCTTGTGCAAAATAATCCAAACTTGCTTCAAGTCAAAAAACCTGTCACAACCTGCTGCTGCACATAGGCCTGCATCATCTGCAAAATAACCAAAAACATGTAAAGAAAAAAAAATAGCCCTGCAACAAACCAGGACCTGTCCCAAACAGGCTATTAGGCTGCAAAATTCTGCTACTATGCTGCCTTTCTTACTGCATATACTATCCCAAAATATACATCAAAATGGCAAAAAAAAATGCATCATAAAAGCAATAGAACAGTTAACTACAATAGTTCAGATGAACCAACTCTTCCCACCCGATTTTATCAGTTTTTCTCTATAAATGAAAACATCACAATACAGAAAAGGAAGAAGGCTCAAAAGAAGTTGGAAAAAAAACACTACCAAAAAACCTAAATAACATAACCGGCAGAAATAACAATCCAAACTGCGGACGCCTTCAACACCATACCTTACTTCCATAGCCATCTCACAAACCAGTTCATAATTTCCGTTCGCTGAGACAATCACCTTTCCGCTCACGTTCAGAATCCATAAAACCTTTCCTCTATCCATCAACCTCTTCTCAAAGTTCTCCAAGCCTCCCTCCGCCATGTTCTCCTCTGTTTTGCAAGAAACTATCAACACTGCATTTTCTCCTATTCATCCAGCTTCATCACATCATTCGAGTTCCATTTCGCTTGTTGAGAAAGAGAAGAAAACAGAGATGCCACCGCAATAACAACACCTCTTCGAAACCAAATGTGCAAAAGAATTTCAAAGTGTGAAAAGTTGAAACTTAGAAGGAAATAATAAGGAGAAGGAGATTCGATAAGATCCTCACCCATCGCGTGACCAGAACCCCGCCGTTCATCGACACGCATCATTCCAACCGCGACCTTTCTTCCATTCTTCGACGCCAACCACACCCAGATCTGCAAACGAATCCGACGAACTCTGGCAAGCCACGCCTTCCATACGACATCGCAATCACCGTCGACAGTCAACTCATGCTGCAGATCCACTTGTAGACCACCACCGCAAATTTGAAACGAAATCGTGAGCCACTGCGCTAATGAAGACCGACGCTTTTTGATTTCGATAATTCTAATCCATTTTTCTTTGATTCAAGGATTTTGTTGTCTAAGGATAGGTTGAATTTGTGAGAATTAATTTTGTTGCTAACAAGAAGAGAGATGGAGTTTTATGTGTATTAACCTTACTGATACTTCTTTTTCTCTGTTACATTATGCTTATATAAATTGTTTTTTTATTTTCTATTTTGTTCAATGAAAACCAAAACCATGTGTCACCCAATGATTGGGTGTCTTTTGAAATTGGAAATAAGTATTAAAAGTAAGGTTAAAACAACAACCTTATTTAGTTGATGTCCGCGGCGCCCCATCTCTTTCCCTTAGGGTTTCTCAAACTTTTCTTTTCCCCAAGTTTAATTCGGGTTTGTGCCTAAGCATTAGAGCCCAACCCGGTTGCTCTATTCTCTTTATTTTATTTGGTTTAGAGAATAATAACAGTTAAACAGTTTAGTTCATTTGCCAAGGCAGTTAGTAATAACTCAGGAGTGACGCGGTTCAAGTCCAGGTTGGGACGTTTTTTTTAAATTTTATTTTTGGTAGCTTTATGTCTTCCATTTTTCTAACTTGAATAATTATTATAAGAAAACATAAAAAACAAAAAAACATGCTTATAATTTAATCTTCATTAATCATTTGAATATATATATATATATATATATATATATATATATATATATATATATATATATATATATATATATATATATATATATATATATATATATATATATATATATATATATATATATATATATATATATATATATATATATATATATATATATATATATATATATATATATATATATATATATATATATATATATATATTAGAATATTTTTGAAGTAGGTTAATTTATTTTTTTAAAATTCGTTATTTAACTTGATAAAAAACACCAAAAATATTAGATTAGGATTTTTAATTTTTCTTTTAATTATTTCTTTACTAAAAAAAAATAATAAAAATATATTAGAATAAAGTAGTGTTAAAATTTTGATTTCCCCCTTTTTAGAATTTCTCGATTTCGCAATTCATAATGATTTAGAATTAGGTTTTAATTTTTGTTTTTTTCACAAAAAAAAATCATAAAAAATATTATAGCGTTACTTTCTTCGATAAGAAATCATAAAAAACATTAAGAACTTAATCTCTTTGTTTTTGTTTGCTTACTTGGTTACATGTTCACTTAGATGATTCCCCAAATCGATTAAACTCGTGTTGATCGTTTCATGTTGAATTAGACATTAGGGTCGAAACTATGTGTGATAACTTTAGGATAAAATTTCCCTTTTACACTCAACTTCAAGTCCGCTAGTACATAACAAACAATTAGGTTTTTTAGTCTCCCTCTTAACCCTTTTCTTTTGTAATTAAAATTTAACATTCACAAATCAAAAATCCAAAAAAAAAAATACTCTTTTAATCATTACTCGAATTTATTTTAAAACTCGCAAAAAACGCTCAACAAATCAAAACTCCCCCCAAGGGCATGCTATCTCCGTTCTACCACGATACCGGTCGTGCCTATTGCTAGAATGCGTGCGTTAACGTCGCCCACTAAAAAACACAAACAAACAAACCATTTTCTAGAGGAACTACGGTGTTCTGATTCCTTCATTGGATACGTAGGTAAAGGGTCGCGAAACCCTCACGAACGCAATAATCAAAAACCATTCATTTCCCCTTAAGCAAGCATAGTTGTAGATAAATACACCCTTTAAGAGAAACAAACAAAATGGATCCCGTTGAGTACAACGGATGTGAGGGGTGCTAATACCTTCCCCTCGCATAACCGACTCCCTTACCCTTTCTCTTGGTCGCAAGGCCATCTTATCCATTCCCTCATGGTTTTATCGATATTTCCCCCTCCTTCGGGATAAATAAAGTTCGGTGGCGGCTCTGTGTTTTCTGCCGGTGGTTTCAGCTGGCGACTCTGCTGGGGAACTTTAGCGAGTCTCTCCTAGTTTTGTTTATTTGTCTTTTTGGGTGTTTATTTATTTGCTTTATCTTGCTTTACTATTTTATTTCTTCATTTATTTTATTCTTTTGTATATATTGCATATTTGTTGCTACTCACATATTCTGGATATATTGTGTTGTTGGTTTTGGTGTTTACTTTTGATAAGTCCTAAACCCGGACTTGGGCTACACATAGGATTAGGACGGGCGATATAGTCATGTTAACTTTGAGGGAGTAATCCCGAAGAAGGAGTCATGAAAATCCCCCACTCAGTGGAGGTCCCCTTGAAAGTAGCGATGTTTACCGAGTAATCGGGAAGACATCGTTGCTTTCGACCTGGGAGCTCGAGAAGCTGAGGGCCGTAGAACCCTTAACCCATCCTAGCCTTTTAGGTGCAATGCGGAGACTGTAACTGAGTAATCCGGAAGTAGTTGTCACACGATATTACGCTCGGACAAGTTTTTCCTGCGAATATTACTGATTACCAAGTAATTGGGACGTCGGTAATATCCAAAGGAAGAGCGTAGACTTCGAGAACTCTTTAGAACCTTGTTCGGAAGGTGATAGACCCCTAGTACATACCTCGTGGGTGGTTACTTTGACTCCATGCCTGTGACGTCGAACTTTTGATCTTGTTACTTTCAGCCTGTGCAACGGACTACGCAATGGTTATCCAGAATATGTGGAGCTGAGACTTCATGCCGTAGCATACCATGACATCATATCATCATGTATATATATCTCATATCTAGAGAAATCCAAAGACAAGTCTTGTTGATATAGCATTTCAAAAAAGGAAATTTTAAAAAGATAGACGAGTCTTTGGGTCTCATTAGAATTGAAGATAAAGCATTCATCCATATTACCATGCATTCATTTTTTTTCACAACAAAAACTCATTGGGGTCCCCTTTACCAGAATCCAGTAAACAGCAAAGACGACTCATCCACATCCTTACCGTACCAGAGGCAACCAGCAAAGGCTAATGGATATTTTTGAAGAAAATCATAATGCACTCCATCGGGATATGGACACTATGGGTACCCGTATGGATCAACTCATGGAAACTCTGCATGCCGTGATTAAGGGTCAAGAAGAACTACACCAGAGTGTTTCCAAGCTTACTACTGCTGCTCCTTCCACTTCTGCTAATGGGAGAAATGACAATGCTAATGTTGAGACTCCTACCGGTGCTCCTAGGAATGATGTCGACGATCATCATGATGTTATTGATCTCGATAAACCTCAAGTGAATCTTGCTGCCAGGGTCGCCGAAACTGCGAAAATGTATCATGCTCTTGAAGAGCGACTTAGAGCCATGGAAGGTATCAAGGCTTCCAGATTCAATACTGCTGTGATGTGCCTCGTGCCCGGGGTAGTCATTCCTCCCAAGTTCAAAGTCCCAGAGTTTGACAAATACAAAGGCACTTATTGCCCAGAGACACATCTCTGTTCCTATTGTCGTAAGATGGCGGCTTATGCTGGAAATGAACCTCTGCTCATGCATTTCTTTCAGGACAGTTTGACCGGGGCATCCTTGGATTGGTATATGCAATTGGAAATATCTCATGTCAGTATTTGGGGAGAGCTTGCCGATGCTTTTCTGAAACATTACCACTACAATACTGCCATGGCTCCGAGCCGTACTCAGCTCCAGGGGATGGTACAAAAGTCTGAAGAATCTTTCAAGGAATACGCTCAGAGGTGGCGTGAACTAGCTGCAAGGGTCCAACCTCCTCTCTTGGATCGTGAATTGATTGATCTGTTTATGGGTACTCTACGAGGCCCTTATCTCCAGCATATGCTCAGTAGCACTTCTACTTCATTTTCTGATATGGTCATCATTGGTGAACGTGTTGAGACGTGTATTAAGGCTAGGACGATTCAAGGTGTTCCTAATAATGCTAACAACAATGCATGCATTAATAGGAAACCATTTTCCGGCTTTGTCAAGAAGAAAGAGGGCGAGACCAGTGCCATCATCGTCAACCCAGGAAGAGCCCCCACATTTCCTCAAGTCCGATTCCCTTATTTTCCTACACCTGCTGCTGTTCCCAACCAATTTGTTCTGTAAGTATACGCTGCTACAACTCCAGCACCCTGGATGGCCCAACAACGGCCTTTCTCTCCGCAACTACATTATGTTCCGCAACAACAGTTTGCACCTCCTACAACTTATCAACAACCGAATCAACATCTCCAAGGCCTGAGAGCTCCTCCAAGACAGAGAGCCCCTGAACGAAGATTTGATCTCATTCCCATGTCCTACGCTCAGCTTCTCCCACAGTTACTTGCTAGTCAAATGGTTCAATTGCGCGAACTCGGTCCACCGCCAAATCCTCTCCCTAGGGGATATGATACTAATGCTCATTGTGAATTCCATTCTGGTGCCCCAGGCCATACAATTGAAAATTGCAGAGCTTTCAAGTGCAAAGTTCAAGATCTCATCGATGCGAAATCCATCAACTTCAACCATGTTGGTCCGAATATTCAAAATAATCCCATGCCTCCTCATCAAGGGGGAACAGTCCATGCTATTGAAGAAGTTAATGAACGGGAT